GCTCTTCTGATCTAGCTGTATTAACAGTCCTGGGAGACATTTTGTAGAAGTTTCAATCCCAATTTCAATTTCAAATTCAATCAATTTCCACATGTACTAAAACAGTGTGTGAGGACAGGATCTTCAAGGATGCAGCCTGCTCCGAGCCTCAGACTGACCTGGAAAGGAAAACAGTCCTCTTCTCATGTGGACACTGTTTTGTTTTTGTCTTTTGCTTTTCCTCCACTTATCCAGAATTAGAAACTGTTGCGTACTTAACACCAGATGAACAAACTGCATTGTGAAACAACTAGGAAAAGCAGAAGCTTGGAGAGAATATATGCCTGTTTAGATTTCCAACAAAGCATACTTCCACACGCAAGCACGGACACGTTACTCGCAATTATCCACCATCTGACACAGCAACCCTATAGTTATTACCCCAGCATCAAAGCAATCTCTGCAGAGGTATAAAACCTGCCCTGGGTGAGTCCTGCTTGTTTTGGAGGCTGCAAGACCTATAAAGGATGAAGACTTCTCTTCTTGTCGTGCTCATCGTAACCCTGTGCACCGAGAGTGGTGAGTCTCCAAGGATTGCTTTGCACTAGCGAGACCCCCAGAGTTGGGGCATGTCTTTGATATTGCAGGATGACAAGGTGATTTTGCAGCATGAATGGTAAAGCTGAAGGGTCATTAATCTCTAGAGAATATTCCAGTCCTCAGGATAAGAAGCCAGGGGACTTATCCTCACCAGAAGTTGGAAGGATGCTGAGGAGCTGAAGTGGGGGATGAGATACCCACCTCACTAGTCCCAGCCCTTGGAATGGCTCAGTGTAGGCAGCTGAGAGCCCTCGGTGCAGCTCCATGAGAAGGGGGATTAGCTGAGGGATATACAGAGCTGGACACCAAAGGGCAAGAGGTACAATAAAGCTGCAAATTTGACATATAACTAACTACAGCCTGATTATTTTTTTTTCACTTGCTTGTTTATTGGTTGCAATTACAAACCATCATTACCTAAATTGGTGGTGATGGGCATGCCACAAGAAGACACAATTCTGGCTCCCATCTCTTTCTTGCAGCTTGTCGCTTTGAGGTGCAACTTTGCCGACGTTGACCTCGGGTCTGGGATGGAGACACAGAGTCCCATTCTCGTTCTGATAACTGGTGGCTGTTTCTTTTGGGAAAGATGCACTGGGAACATGCACTTTAACTCTGCCTGGCTGGGTTCTGCCAAGGACTGCTGTCTGTGCCTCTGGAAGATGCCCCATTTGCACAGGAGTGAGCTGTGGGTCAGGCAAGGAACAGAGGTTGCAGCCCTGAATATCCCTCTGACTATTCCAGGGGTAGAGTTGATTTCCTCAGCTTGGAGGGCTTTTGCATTATTGCAAACTGAATTTTTCTCAGGCTCTGCTGTAGGGCTTTACCTGCAAATTACTGGCCCTTCTGGTCCTGATCTAGCAGAGCACTTAGGCTCATACTTAATTTGAGGCTGTAAATGCTCTTACTGTGGGACTTCACAGGCTTTAAATTTGCCATGTGCTAAATCATTGTGCTCAACCGGGTTGAGAAAGTTGAGGGAAATAAAAGGATTCTTTCCTGCAGCTTATCAACTGTAATCACATTTTTTAAAAAGATCACGTAATGAGACAGCAAACTTACCAAAGGAGTTCGTGAAAATTAACACATACGCAGCACAGCTTCACTGTGCAATCTAGCCAGAAGGCTGGTTGCTGTTCCAATTAATCCTGAACCTGACTGATTTTAACGGTGTAAATCCTGCATCCTCCGGCACTTGCACTTGCTAATGCTTTACATGTGTAAGTTGTTTAGCTGGGTGGCTCAAATTATTCACATGAAAATGTTGCTCTGAGGAATATTCTTTTTCGGTTAGAGCAGAGGTCTTGCTAGGCACAGACAGGAGACCTCCAAAGGCAGCCTAGTTTAACCCCAGGTTTGCATCCTGAGTGGGGCACATTTCTAAAGAAATATTGTTCCCTTCCCCACTCAGCCCTCCTTACAACAGATATCTCAACAGATACAATAAAATCAGAAGTGTTTTCTGGTAGCATGAGCAACTGTTGTTCTTACTAGGATAGAGGATCAAAATTGTCCTACCTGACTTCAGGGTCTTAACTGAGCTACCAGGTTAGGAGCCCACATGCCTCCAGAGTCCTCTACAGTAAATGTGAGTGAGAGAGAAAGGTCCTGAGCATGGAGAGATGTTGGCAAACTCACCCCTGCAGATGCTTGCCCCCTCCCTGGGACAGAAGAGTCCCAGGACAACTGTACTCTTAAATCAGCAGCTTTGGGAGGTTGGGATGAAACAGGACTTGGGCATGTAACAAGCTCCACTGTTTCCTGCATAGATTCAGGAAGTTTTTCTAGGAATGGGTTTGATTAAAGAAGCTGCATTAATTAAGGAATAAAACGAGTGACATGTCTGGAAAACCCAGTTGTGTTAATTAAGGAATAAAATGGGTTACATATCTGGAAAACCCAGTCTGGGGACTCTGCTCTAGTATACGGTTATTCTGGGAGGAAAGGGTTGTTCCCAGTGCGGTGGAGCAAAATGTGCCTGTGCAGGGTTTGCACAAGAAAAGAGACTGAAGCCACACTGTTTTGAGTGCAGATAGTCTAAAGGAGGGTCCCAGACTTGGAAAAAAAAAAAAAAAAGTAGCTTGCAGTGTCAGGAGAATACTGAATGCAAGAGCCAGGCAGGACAGCTAAGAGTCTGCAGATGGAAATGACCATGACTAAGGTAGGAAGCAAATTGCAAGTCTTGGTATCAAGTCAGAGTGAGCTGGGTGTCAGGCCTGAGGCTTTTGAAATCATAAGGGTGATGGGATCTGAGTCACTGCAAGCCCAGTTGCCTGACCTCTGTGTCCTCTGCTAGCTGCTCTTCAGTGAGAGACGACACAGGGAGAGTAGGATCTGCAAGGACTACAGACCACAAGAGGCAATTGATGGTCAGTCCTGGGCGGCTATGGAAAGGGCAAAGGGGTTGTTAGCTGGAGTGGGGAGAAAAGACAGTTTCCACAGAGACAGAGAAGGATGAATAGTGCCCTAAGAGGCATTTTTGTGGCTTCCTATGAAATACAGTGCACACCCTGGTCATCTGGGTCACGGTCAGAGCTGGGGCCAGGTCTGGGCTAGTAGGACATTAGGGAGCAGAGAGCCTGTTCGGGCCAGATTAGTTTGTCTAAGGTCAAACAAGGGCAGCAATGAGGTTGGGACATTGCTGGCAAAGACACCAACAAGGGCAAAGAAGCCTGGGCAAAGGAAGAAGAGTGAGGGAGATAAAGAGCAAGGAAGGCAAAGGACAGTGCTGGTACAAAAATAAGACGGGTATTAACTGGCCATAGACAGGCATAACCTGGAAATAAGAATGAGCCTAATTCCCGGTGGGTGACATTACTGCGGGAGTGTTTGCTCCAGATAAACAGATGAGTAGGAAATTCCCCTTATCATGCAAAGAAACCTTCCCTGAGGATCTCTTTGCTATGAATGACTGCTTTAGCTTACTTGAGTGCAAGCTGTTTTCATTCATTCGTATTAGCACAGTGTTTGCAGATGCCCAGTGTTACAGATGTACACATTTTGTAGTGTCAGGCAGTCATCACCCATGGACGGCTCTAAAAAGGAGTCTGCTGCAGCCAAGGAGGTGGTTTGCTGAGCCCTGTCTTCTACAGGTCCAAGATTGCCTTCCAACTCAGGAGAGCTCTGAAAATGAACCAGCCAAATGCAAGCATCCATCTTCCCAGCAAACACTGAGAAGAAGATCTAGGTCACTTGTCCCTCAATTGAGATATGTTGTGGGGGCATGCAGTAAAATATTCATGCCTAGTATGGCCGGGGGGGTTACTCTTAGGTGTGTGCCTCCCTTTTTGTACTCACAAAGATTTTTTTAAATGATTCACTGTTGGTCTATGTGCTCTGAAAAAGGATGTATAGGTCAGGACTCTTCAGATGACTTAAAGAGGACGTGAAAAAGTGTGGACAGGAATCCACTGGACTCTTTCCATACAAGAGCTAGTGGCCAGCAAGCGGGGCTTAGAGGAGCCAGGTTGGAAAGAAACCACAACAGCTTCATGCTGCAAGTGGTATTAGACTTGGGAGCTCCTTCCAAAAGCACACGGGGGATGCCAGATGTTTAAATGGATTCAAGAGAGACTCAAGTAAGTACCCAGAAGGAAGATTCCTTGAGGGTTACTACATGAACAAACCACATCACTGTCAGGAATCTGAGCTTAAAGTAATTTGGATTGAGGAGAGTCGCTGGGGCCAAGTTTCATACACTCTGGCCGCTGGGCTTGACAGATCCTCCATCTGGACCAGCACCACCAGTTTTGTGCTGCTACAGATATTTCTAGAGGTGATTGATGAGTGTTGTGTGCTTCTTTTGCAGCTTTCTCCTTGACATGTTTCACATGTAAAGATGCATCTTCCAATATACATTGTCTCAGTACAACCACATGCTCTGACCATGAGAAGTACTGTCTCACAACCTATTCTACCACAGGACTCGGTAAGTGTGAAGCTTTTCTAAGGCTCTGATGAGAAGATGGGGTTCAGTTTAGGCTGACTGCAGAGCCTCCTACCACCATGAGGTGTGGTGGAAGAATTAATGAGGATCACAGCACACAGCGAGCAAATCTTACAGCAGGTGGGAACTCAGCATAGCCCGTCTCTGTTGCAATATATTGTAGCAATACTGCACTGCTGATTAAACACACTCAGGAATGGGGGACATCATTGGAAGTGAGGGGATTTCTCTGCACAAACCCCTTGTCTCATCTCCAAGCTCAAATATACACTCATGAGGTGGTGGAATTGGAAAGGGCCACGTAGTGTGGAAGGAGCAATCCCAAGGCATGGTGATGATGATGTCTTGCAATCTTGCACTATACAAATGCATTAGATCTCCAAATTCTTGCCCTGTGTTGCACTCCGCTCACCCTGAAAACAGCAGGGGAGTCGTAAGGCCTGTAGATAGTCTCCATAGGTCACATATACACAAATAACGATGCAGTGTGATGAAGCGCAAGGGAAAACCAACAGCATTAAGTACAGAACAACGTATTCCCCACTGGATATTGCACAGCCAGTCTATCATTGAAGTCTGTAAAAAATATACATAATAAAAAACCTGACTTTTCTTTCTGTTTTCTTTCTCCCCCACTTCAGGCAATGACCGTAACCAGCGTATTACCAAGAAATGTTCTGCATTTTGCCCAACAATTGACCTGAATATCGGCATAGCCGGTGTTGCTACTAGCTGCTGCGAGACTTCCTTGTGCAACATCAGTGGTGCCAGCAGTGTGAAAACCAGCTACACTGTAATAGCTCTGGGAGTCTTGGCCAGTCTTGCTTGCATCCTCCGGCTGGGTTTTTAAAGGGGCTGGTGGGGAAAAAGGAGTTGCTTGGCCTTGCGTTGCAAGGGATCAAAGTCGCACCTGTACAGTGTGAATGCTGCCCTGTTTTGCCTACCTGGAAGGTCACATCCCATCAGCAAATATTTTTGCTCTTTCTGTGCTCTGATGACAATGCATAAGAGCACAGCTCTACCTCAAAATGGTGTTTGGAAGAAGAAGGCATGATGTGGAGCCCTGCATATGCAGACTGGCACCATATAGTCACCATCTCTCCTATTATTGGCCTTTATAACTCTGTGCATTTTTTCACCTTCATTTTGTCCCTGCTATTCTCTTGTGCCATTTTTTCCCTTTATACCATTTTCTGCCCTGTATCATTTTGCTCTGATGAAGCCTTTAATATTAGAGTTGTTAAACAGAAGCTGGGCACAATAAAGTGTTATTTTATTCTATTGTGTGACTGTGTGGTACGGTACATCAGGCGTAGCGGCTGGATGCATCCATGTTAGCAGCAACAAAAGCAGAGGCGTTAGTCTGCAAGTCAAGTTGAAATAACACTGAAATATATTGCACTTGCTTTGCATTCACTTCAGGAAGCCTCTCCTCAGATTTTCTTTTTTTTTTTTTCTGCATTGGCAGAAGTGTCATTTTGTGACTCCATTTCAGAGTAAACTGTATTCTGTTTAATTTGCTTTCAGTTTCTCTTCTGGGTCAGCTGGCTGAAAGGAAATGGCTGTTGAGCTCCCCAGCAGGCAAACAGAGGGGACAAGGCAGGACTCAACACGAAGGGATCTTGAGCATTAAGTTTTCTTTAAACCGATTTAAGATTTTTCAGTGGAAATTGCTTTATAAGCATTATGGATTATTTTGCAAGGGGAGAAAAGTATCTTGCATGGTGCTTAAAGGAAAATCATGAGAAAAGACAGTTTCTACCATGTGTCTGGTGGAGTCTGGAAATTTCAGCTTCATCTATAACAAAATATTAACTTTGAAAATAAATCTTTTATGTTTGCTAGTCAAGTTTCCTATTGGGGTTAAAATTGAAGGAACTCATTCCCCTGCACTGTACTTCCTTGTGGATAATCTTAGCTAAGAATGAGAGATTTCCTCACTCAAACCCTTCCGAAGTGAGTCACAGGAGGCTGAAATGCTTTCTCCTGAGCTGAAGAAGCTCTCCACTAGGATTATCCCAACAAGATCTCCCAGGGTAATTAGTTGGGTGCAGCTCACCCAGCTGGTTTTCTCTCTGTAGACTCATTGCACACGGAAAGCAGCTGCACATTTTGCTCACTCTGCTGGGTATCTGCTGAGAGCAGAGGAACAACAACACTCAGAAACATCCGGATCTTTATAACAGGTTTGCAAAGGAAATGTGGTCTCATGGCTCCAGCTCACCCCAACCTGCTCCCATCCCTTCTTGTCCACCCTCCCTCCCATCCACATCTGCCCAACAGCCATGCACTCCCCGGCTGTTTTCTCTCCCAGCCTTCCTTGTTGGCTTCTTCATCCAGTCTTAATCTGGGCTTTACCTCCAACCTCTATTTTCTTGCTAGAGACTCAGGTCATTTTGTTCTCCTCAGTTCAAATGCAAGGTTGGCCAAGGATACTCCATCTTTAGTCATGAGACTCTCCATTGTCCTCACGGTTTCTATTGCACTGCCGTCCCACAGCTGAGCTGGCTCCATTCTTCTGTCCAGTCTGCTCCTTTCACCTTTCTTCCCCTCCTGCCAGATTGAGAGATATTCAAGTGGCACACACATTTGAACACCTTGAATGAGCCAAGAACTGCTCTGGGGCCTTGGATGGCCATACTCTGCCCCACACCCAGATGGTAAGGTGGTAACAACTGACCTATTTGAAGTAGTCTTCAGCCTTTGCTATCCACAGGTTTAGGATTTCTTAGGGACAATGCTGGCTGGCACGAGCAAAGGCCAAGCTGGGACTAGTAATACCCCAGGTCTTGTCCTGCTGAGCTTGTGAATACAGACATGTTCTTGGCATCCAGGTTTAAAATAAGGTCATGTCTTGTGCTACCTGAGCTTGGCAGGTGCCTCCATTTTGGGTTAGGAGGGAACCTGGCACATGAAGGAAGGTATAAAACTGTGTGGGCAAAGGGGGCGAAGACACTGGTAGAGCCTGCTTCTGCAGTGGAGGGTTTCATGGTGTAAGAGACTGAAGTGTTAAGAACAATTGTCTCAAAGCTTGCTTGTGTGTGTTTATCTGATAAGACCGGACAGCAGACCACTCTTTTGTCTGACAAGACCCGAGGGCAGACCACTCTTTGGCTTATCAAGTACCACCATCTGGCAAGGAAACCTGTGGGTCAGGCCGCTTGCCCCACCAGTAGATGTGCATGTGTTGGGTACCTGATGTTGCCCTGGGTAACCAAACGGAAACGAGAGGGCAAACTCCCTCTCCAACACCAGATAAAAGATGGCACAAGGAAACCTGGGTGTGGCCATCCACCACCGAAAAACTGAAGACTGAGGACCAACGGGACGCTGCTGGATCCATGGTGGTGACTATCCTTGGCTTATCTCTCTGAATGCTTGCTTAATTTCCTGCCTTTCCTATCGCTTTACTCTTTTATATTTACCCAATAAAATGTCTGATTGGCAGCATATGACCTCGTTTGTGTCTTAATTTTGCCCTTGGGATCATTACAAACCTTCCCCGAGCCTGACAATCAGACCGGGACTTAACACATGGTCTGCTTATGGCTGTTGCATGGAGAAGTTATGAACAGCACTGGGAAGCCAGGAGTCCCATCCCTAAGGGAGCAGCTCCATCCATGGGCCCCAGCCTGCCTCCCTCTTGCCTGGTTTCTCCCTGATCCCATAGGTTTTGCATTCTCTACTGCCCAGCAACGCAACTCATGCATGTGGGCCAAAGACTGACCCACATCTGAAGTTACATAAAGGAGTCCTTATCTGGAGGTGGGAGCAGCAATTGCCCTGAGGCACAGGAGGTCCTAAAACCATGAAAGCTCCCTTAGTGAACCCTCCCCTTCGCAATGGGTGTTGTGTGACAGGAGACTCCTCTCTGCCAGCCTCCCTGAGAAATCCTGATGTGACATCTCCCATGCAGATGCTCCTGCCTAATTCCACATCCCTCCACCCAGCGTTTCTTATTTGTTGGCTCCCATGGTTGCATATTCCTTGGATGAGAGTGGCAAGCTGCCCTGCAGGGACATGCCTGGAAGGCTCTCAGGAAGAAGATAAGCCTCTCACTCAAATAGCTGGGATTGCTCCTGGGAGGGAGCTGGCCCTCTCTGTGTGGATTACCTAAGAGCTCAGTTTTCGGTGCTCAGAGTCACTGTGCCAGGACCTGAATCAGCCAAGGGGGCCTTGCCCTGCCTAACTTAGGCACCTGGAACAGGTGGTTTAACTTTGGCCTCTCTTTTCCCTCATTCAGGGGTCTATCACCACTGATTCTGAAGAACCTATGCTGCCTTCTGCTCTCCTCAAATTGTCTTTCTTTTCCCTCACAATATGAAATTTCTTCCCTTTCTCTCTGCTTGGTTTGCCCAGATCCGATTAACACCCGATGAATCAGTGACAAAGCAAGAGACAAGATAGATGTAAAAGATCAAAGCAAGGTCTTCACTAGGTCTAAAAAGCTTCTGGAAGCCATGGAAAGTGACAAAAGCATCCCTTTTTCAAAATTAACTTCTGCTCTCTTGTCATATAGCCAACTCATGGCTCCATTTTTGAGGTCCATTTTAGTTTTCCTGAATGAGCAGCGATGAGGTTATTCTACACAGGTGACTAATCTTCCTTGCATTTTTTGCAGTCTTTCTCAATCTTAGTTCTCACTTGGTGTCGCTGGCTGGCCTGATCCAGGCCCTCCTCCAGGCTGAAGGCTGTGATGCCAAGCAGCAGGAGACACCCTCCCCACGTTGGCTGCTCAAGCGTTGCCTCTGACTGCACTGAGTTTCATCATCTGTCCTCTTGAGAAAGAAGGAATTGCTGCAACCCAGTCACTGTGCTGCAAAATTACTGCTCTCCAGAAGCTGGGAAGAGGGCATTCTCCAGAATTGCAGTACATCTACGTACTAGCAAAGACATTAATGTCCTGGGGACAGCTCCCAGATAACTGTTTGACATAGAAGAACTTGTTTCCTACTCAAATTTCTCTCCTGAGTTGGCAGTGCTGGGGATGACTTAGCCTCACCACTCTCTTTCAAAGCTGAGTTGAGGAGGCCTGATGAAAGGACTGAGCCAACATCCTATCACATGAGGGTTCATGTAGAAAGAAATGGATGTTAGCAAAGTCAATGTGAGGGTGGATATGGCAATAATTACAGCATTCTTTCATTGACGGAGGAAGGGAAAAGGAATATACGTAACAGAAGTCTATGGGATAACTGATAGGACTAAAAAGGAAAAAATGGTTGCTTCCTTTTACACTCACTGCAAAACATCAGCAAGAAGACACACCCACTAATTATAAAGAACAACCTGTTGATAACACACTTGGGCAGTAAACCGAATTGCTCTCTGCAAAGCAGAAGTCTTGATTTGATCATCACCAGCATGTACCCTGCTGACCTCACAAACCTCCAAAATCAAGAGCGGGCATGTCTGTTTTGTCATCAGGCTTGAATAACTCTGGAATTCACCACCTGATGATGTCATTCTAGGAACACTTTAAGTGAGCCTGAAAAGTATCAGGAACTCACACAGATAAGGAAATCATCTAGTGTTGGAACGATTCGTATTAGACAAAAGTACCCTACTGATAGCTACTTCTGAGGAACTGCCTGTTAAGTTATTCCATAATTGCCAGCAAAAGGGGAGTTTTGCAGTGTTTTCTTTTGCACATTCTGCTACCTGCTGTCCAGGACTATTCTCACTTTGGAAGAAGCTCTGTTGAGATGGTAGCTCGAGTTTTTACAAGCTACATCTTTTATTGGGGTCTATTTCCCAGAATGTCAGAAACAGATTTTAAGAAATTCAGAGGAGAGCAACAGAGAGGAATAGAAGAAAAGGGATTGATTTAAGAGGAGAGATTGAAAAAGA